GCACTAGCCAAGTAGCTTTGCACCAACCCAACTCCGCCAGTCCATCGCAGTGGACCTTTGGAGAAAGCCTCCTCCCTAGACATGGACGACACGATGAAAAGCATCCGAGAGCTCGTATGAAGAGAAGTGACCATGACTCATGACCATGGTTGTACCCCTGTTTGCTGCATGCCGTTGTCAAATCTCTTCCTGGAATGGTGCCAGTAGAATCTCCAGGTTTTTTCTCACTTGATGAGATTGCTCAGGTGATGGAGGGACAGGTTCTTGCAGCATCACAGGACGCGTCACCACAGGAGAAGCTTGGATTCACATGGATTTGGGCCTAGTATGGTTTTGTTTTTGACACCTGGTCATGAGTGTGTCGGATGCATGTTTCCCATGAAGCATGTGTTTTTTCCATGAACCGTTCACTTTCTTGAACCTTTTCACCTCTTCATGCCCTGGTGCAAGTCCATGCTTTTTTAAATATTTTCTATTTGCCTTTCACTTCCAGGCTCTTACTGTAGGACTTCACCCGGCTTTGGTCGGAGGAGTTCGCCAATCTCGTGCAGACCATGGCCACCTTGGCGCCAGGAAATGAAGCCTTGCACCAGGCGCCAGCATGTGCCAGGGGCTTCGTTTCGGGTGTTTGCGCTGATCATTTGGGTCATGCCTGGCGAGCAGGGTGGGCGCGAGGGTTCTTTTGGGCCAAATGGGGATGAGTCAAAACCTGGAGCCAGGTTCCACCATGTAGCGAATGACCTCCCGGTCAAATAATGTAGCCGGGTGCCATGACCCACAGCCAAATGTTGGCAAACAAAACTCCGAGTTGCAAGGGCATCGCTACTAAGTAACAAGGGCGTCGCTACTTACTACATATATATTACTACTAGTCACTAGTCGCTAGAAGGTACTAGTAGCAAGGTGCCTTACTGGTCCAGACGGAGAAAACACCTCTCCTCACTCCCAGGCGATGGAAGAAGCGGCGCTCAGGACGTCCGGCGCCCTGCTCAAGCGAGCGCGCCAACGGAGTGCCGCCCCGGAAACGGGTCGGGCCGTGGAGACTTCGGGTGACGGAAGCGAACGGCGTCCGGTGGGGGCCGGTTGGTTCTGGCGTTCGATGTGGAGTGGATTCGATGACAGTCAGTGTCAATTGATGGATTCTGCAGGCCCATGCTCAAGCCTCACATGGGCTTTGCCGTTTTGGTTTCACCAGGCACTCGGCAGTCGATGCTTGCGACAAACCCATGACCCAACTTGAGAAGAACCCGTCGCACTCCACATCGCACCCCCATCAGCCAGATTTCCAGCCACCCGAAGTCATGTCTTCAAGATTGTCAGCACCACAAGCAAGCAGCAAGCGAGAAACTCGCCAAGAGGCACGGCCGGAAAAAGAAGAAAACAGTCAAATCGGGTCACCGGTGTCTCCGCAAGTCACAAGCCAACCTGTGACTCAGCAAGCCAACCAGCAGGGCACCACAGCACCAGCTCGGCGCTCCGCTCCGCCAGCTTGGAGGATCAACCGTCGGGTCGGCGGTGGCGGCGAAGCGGCGGTGGCATTCGGCGAAGAAGAGATGAAAAGAGAACAGAGATAGATGAAGCAGTGATTTTGCAGGTGCAAAAGCAGCCAAAGGCATGTGCAAAGAAGCATGTTGAAAGCATGTGCGTCTTCAGTTCATCAGGGGTGCCCCATTTGGGCGAGATGCCCTTGGCACTGTCACCAGAACAGAAGAAAACACCGGTCACCGGGCACTGGGACCAAAGCAGAGCCCATCCAATCGATCTCTCGAGTCCATCCCATCCGGATGGTTCGACGCTCGTTGGGACGAAATGTCAGGGACTCACCTCAGTCAGTAGGTCGTCGGATCTATTCTGTTCATGGTTGGTGGGACCAAACCCAGGGCCCTCCCCGTGTGACCCATAGCCACAGCCATGTGATCGTCACCGACCGTGACCCGTCGGCGCGTGTCTACTTGGGCGCAGGCGGCCATGTCCTTAGCCTCACTGCTGAGCCTTGGCCGGAAAGAAGAGCCTGCCAAGTGCCAGCCTTGGCCGGAAAGGGATTGACTTGAAATATATTGGAATGATGAGTTCATGAGGCAAATCATGTGGAGGTGGTTTTTGGAAGCATGCGTGCTTGTGCCTAGGCCACCAGCGCCTGAGAAGCCCAAGCCTGCTGCCACTCCAGCGGCTTGGCATGATGTCAATTTCATGAGAAGACCTAGCATCGGATCCTCACAAAAAGAAGGCAGGTTCCTTGAGATGTCGATCATCCATCTGTTGGTCTTCTTTCCAAGATGTAAAAATGCCTCTCCCCGGTTTTTTCCGAGGCTCCAGCTCCTTCGGCCAGCATCGTCCAGAATGAGGAGGAGCCCACCGATCCGCCGTTCGGCCAACGGTCGAGCGTTCGAGGCGCGCGCGAGTGTCCCGCGGGGAGTGCAGGATAGAAAGCTCGCCCTGGAGCTGGCAGCGAAACAGGCCGCCTTTCCTCAGTGAACGGCGTGGATTCCGGACGTCGAAGAATTCTCCTTCTACTCAGGCTGACCTGCTGAGTGAAGAGGCCATGACGGTAGAGCACATGGGAATCGGGATGGAGCTAAGGACCCATCGTTCAGAATTGGAAAGATTTGGATGGCACGCCATGGCACGCCATGCTTAGTGCCATGCTGGCCATGCTTGGTACTAGTATAGGCCCCCGGACCTCTGAGCCGCTCGACCTCGCATTCCTGGGACATGCCATGCGAGCGGAGTTCGTGCACGTGCTTGACACCGCTGCGCCGCCAGATGCTGATCAAAGAAGCCGAGGAGGAAGCTGCCAAGGAAAGGGAGATAGAAGAAGCAGCGAAGGCCGGTTGCATCAGGTCAAAGTCTTCAAAGTTCCAGGAGTTCTCTATTCAGAAGTTCCAACTTTGGTGTGAACTTCCTCTCACGGTATCGCAAGTCAATCTGGTTTTTCCCATAGGATCACGGCAATCTGGCACGCACGTCTGATCCTTTTTGGTGCCACCAAAGTCAAGCGCCCGCAGGCAGCAGCAGCTCTTGCACAAAAGCAACGACTTCAAGCAGCTACCCAGGGCTGGAACCCTTTCAGCACAGGTGGTCCCAGCCTCAGCACTTCGGCGAATCATGGTGACCCACCACCCACCACCGGGGACACGTACCTACTGGACGTTCCTCAGATCGAGGGAGGTGACACGCAGCCGAGGCCGGATGTTCCAGCCAGGAGTCTTTCTTTGCGATGAGAGATCTGGCTACAAGCCCTTAGGCCGGAGCTTCAGGTCCTGAACTGAAGGTGTGGATGGCGTGACGCAGCATGGATGTGACCGCATCCGAACTCGGAAGAAAAAGGTCTGCCCAAAATGACTTACGATTGCACATGACCGCAGGTGCGCAATCGTACATGCCCAATGTGCAGGAGATGGATGAAAGCAACTCCTGCTTGATAAACAACAAACTCTTCGCAAAAGCATGGCTTTGAAGAATGGAATGATGTGGATTGCTGGGTGTTGGTGCAGGACTGGCTACCTCCAGGAATGACTCTCCCTGCCACAGCCTCAGAAGAGTGTTTGGCAGATGTGGGAATTTGTTGCAGGTTTTGTTGACGGTCCAGAACCCGAGCCGCAAAGTTAGATAGATAGATAACACACACACCAGTGACCGGAATTTGGCACCCCACTGGCTGGTTGGAAGAGCGTGGCCATCACGTGCCGGAATCGGCGCATCGCGGGCGATGCTCAGGCGGCATTCCAGAGCGGCCAACCCCAGTTTCGGCAGCTGAATCCAGCTGCCCTGTGGGCCAACGAGCCGCTTAGAGATGAAGATGTAAAGTGGAGGTGGTGGCCATATGTTGGGCCTGTAAACAGCTTTGGTCTGGCAATTCGTTACATATCCTTGCCCCTTTGGGCCAGCATTTTTGACACCTTTATGATGCTGAACATGCTGACAACGTTCATCACCACCAGCAGAAAGCTTGCTACTGAGAGTTGGCTGCGGCAAGTGAGGAGCTTGATCAGCATCTCAGGTACGCCCGAATGCAAATGAAAGCACCTCCGTATATGCCAGCAACTTACCAAGCAGATCCTCCACGGGGGCAGACTCTTGGCTGCACGATCTCCGTGCCCATTGTTTTCGTGCAACCAACATTCGAAGGAGGACATGGAGTCAGGACCGATGAATTGTTCAATCACCAAGAACCACACGTACCGTACACACGACGGTGTGGAGTCGACTGGCACCTCGACTGGCACCATCCGTTTCTCATGGCAGCCGCTCTGAAGCGCCGTTTCCCTCCAACCTCAGATCCGGCGCCAGGCCTGTGGTCATCCCGCCTCGCCAGCGGTCCAGATCGAGAGAACGGGGAGGCGGATGGGAGGGACCCAATGGCCAGTATGAGCAGTATGGAGGAGGTGACTGGCCTGGAGGTGACTGGCAGAAGGGCAGCTTGGCTGCAAAGATGTGGTGGCGAGGTGGTCAAGGTGGGATGAGTCAGGTCACATCGAAGAATGTCTTGCATCAGGTCCTTTTTTAGGAGTCCCAAAGCGCACCGCCAAGGTGGTGGCGAAGCTGGTTGGCTCGGGCCTCAGGGGGATGGGACCATTTCGAGAAGCTGCCCAAAGTGAGAAATGACCTTCCAAATCAGTGCCACTTCGAATGAATGGATGAGGACTTTTTTCTTGTTGCTTTTGGAGGATTTGAGGCATTGATGACCATGGTCATTACTATCTTCCACCGTTTTTCCCCTTGGTTCCGCTGACGTTGTTCCCATGATCTCGGACCATGCGAACGGATTCCGACCGCGCCGTTCACACTCAAGGCCTGGGGGAAAGGGAGGCTCCTGGGGCCCCGGCTGGGGCCCGGGCTACAACTATGAGAGCGAGGGGTATGGAGCGTGGTAGGTGGGTGTTCAACACACCTGACAAAAAGGTCCCGAAAAGGCTCCCCCCAGCAGCTCCAGGTCAGCAAAGCTATGCAAAGCAAGAGCTATTGACAGTTCAGCAATATGTTGACCACGTGCTTTCCCTCTCTCGTTCGTATTTTGTGAAAAAACTTCAATGCTGACCTGGGGGTAGCAAGGCCACCAGTCATTGAAATAGACACTTTAACGCTATGTCCTATGATGCCTGGGAGAAAAGGGGTCTGCAAGCTGCTGCCGTGACCGCCGTGACTGGACCTGGTGGTGCTTACAAATGCAGTGCTTTTTCTGTTTGAGATCCTTTTTGCAGGGGCTGCTCTGTCGACCAAAGTCTCATGTCAGCCCCCTTTGGAACCACAGGCTCGGTAGGTGTGGGGTTTGATCCCCAAGATTCCTGAAGGCTTGGTCTGTGATCGCTTTTGCCTTCTGAGTCTTAAAGCCCAACGGCTGTTTTGGGGAGATCCAGTTGCACATGCCTTGAACACAAAACAGCCAGGGCATTGTTGTTTTCTACTGGCTCCCTTTCGCGCTTCCGTAGCTCCTTAGTATTTACAAACTTTTCACACAGAAACAGAGTATGCTCTAATATCATTTAGGTTGGAGGCCATCGCTCTTAGGTTGGAGGCCATCGCTATTAGGTTCCTTAAAGTTCTTTTCTTTTTTCTAATATCATTTAGGAGTCTAAAGATGATGTTTGACTTTAGGCTTTCACCTCGCTCGTATGGTTCTGACGGTGCCAGGCTGGTCGCTGTGTTTCAATTGACAGAAACGACGGGTGTTTTCGCTGAAACGAGGATGCCTGGGTTGCTTCCATTAAACCATTTGGTCAAGCAGTCATGTGTGCCATCTTACGTCAAACGTCAACTTATCTCTGGTTTGGCGTTTTGGGCGCCCCGTAGGCCAATTTGGCTGCTTCTTGAAGCAACATGCTGATCCTAGAGTGCCCACTTGCCAACAACATCTGATCTAAAGCGCTTGGCCAAAAAAAGACATCAAAAGCACTTGTTACTACTAGTAAGGCACCTGTTACTACTAGCGTGGCACTTGT